AGGGTGGGGAGGCTTCATGCAGCACAGGCTGGGAGAGTGCCATGACTGTGGGCACTTGATATGCAAGGGTGCCTGCCTCCAGACATGCCTTTGTCCTTCCCACATTACGCCTCTGGGAGTGGGAGTGGTGGCCAGTTTCCATATTAGCATTCAAGTCCAGGTGTATGTCTGGGCCCAGCGGGCTGTAGCATGAGCACCCAACACCTAGGAGATGCATCCTGGCTCGGAAAGCAGGACTTGGCTGGTTAGTGGATGAGTCCAGGTCATTGCTCAGCTCAGTGAAGTGTGTCCCTTCAGTCTAGCCCCAGGTCTACTTCGGCTACGCAGGGCTTGGTTGCATGAGGGCTGGGACGTAGAAGAATAGTGGGGTGGGGATGGGGATTTGAAGGAAGACCTTCCTACTGATTGCTTCTACAGTAGGACTGTGGACTTTTCCTCCTTAAAAGACAAGTACCTTTGGGTGGGCATGGAGGCTCATGCCTGTAGTCTCTGCACTTTGGGAGGCCAAGGCAGGTGGGTCACTTAAGCTCAGAAGTTGGAGACCAGCCTGGGCAACATGGTGAGATCCCATGTCTATAAAAATTAGCCAGGTATGATGGGATATACCTATAGGCCCCGCTACTTGGAAGGCTGAGGTGAGGGAATTGCTTGTACTTGGGAGAAGGAGGTTGCAGTGAGCCGAGATCACACCACTGCACTCCAGCCTGGGTGACAGAGTGAAACTCCATCTCCAAAAAAAAGACAAAATACTTTTAAGAGTCCTGCTTTAGTAAGAAAGGAGGGGATGCTGGGTATAGGGGGAGTCAGGGGAAGAAAAGAACCTCCATCAACTACACACCCTGAGGAAGTTAGGGACCAGTGTTCAAATCCAGCACACAGGAAAGGGTAAGGCTTTAAAAACAAACAATGGAACAAATACCAAATTAGGTATTTACTCACCATATAACAAAGCTGTTGCACAATTGTTTTGTTAAGTGGCGAATCAAAATTCAGCTTGGCAGTGCCTTGTGCTGTGGGCCCCTGGCCCATGCCCCTGCCTCCAGCAGGTCTGTAACCCAGCAGCTGGGCTGGGTTTTTCTGGTCCCTGTTCCAGTAGCACTGGGGGTACGTGTCCATTGGCCTATTATACTCTGTTACCCCTGGCTTGTCTCCTGTCTCATTAGACTGGGTTCTCAAGGACTCGATTGGGTCCACACTGAAGATTTGAAAGAAGAGTGGGAAATCAGAGAGGCAAGCAGGTGTGTGCATTTTCCTCTTTAGCTTTCTCCTGTGAATGCTAATCTCGTTGTACACCTGCGTATTCCAAACCTCTTTCTGAAGGTTTAACTGCCACCTCAAAATCCATTTTGAAGCTCATCCCTCTTGCTTCTTGTCTGGTGTTTCCCGTTTCCTTGTATCTGAGTATCCCTCTCCCTGTCCTCCCCAGCCCGTGTCATCCACTGCTCGGCTCTCCCATGGCCTCTTTCCCTCTTCTGCAACCCTCATTGCTTCTTGCCCGCCTCTTACCAAAACCTGTATCACTGATTTTTCTTCATTTGGTCTCTAGTCCTCCTAAACATTTATTGAAGTTGCTTAACCTAAAGAATGTCCATGTGACTGCTGTGTTGCAGGTCCTGTGTTGGAGGAGGTGGGGCCAGATCTCTGACCTATACCAATCTCTTCTGGCATCAGTTTCTTCCATCCTGTTGGATTCTTCGCTTTGAACTCATTACTCTTCTACAGAAAATGTGGGGACGTTTGAAACTGATTCTTGGGTTGGTATTCAGGGCCTTCTGTGATCTTGCTCATTGATTCGCCTTTTCCAGTCACGTCCGTGGCTCCCTCTCATGCATGCCGTACGTTCCAGCCAGACTGGTACATACCCCGTCATTCCCTTCCTCTTCCTCTGTCATCACGTGGCTTCCTGCGGGAATGCCTTCTCCCTTCACTTCTCCCATGCCCTTGTCCAAATTTTGTCCTTGTGATTCAGCTCAAATGCCATCTCCAGGAAGTCTTCCCTGCTCTTATCTGGTAAGCATTTGAGTGGCTTTCATGCCTGTAGTCCACCACTGGAGGAAACACTTTGTTTTCTGAGATGGAGTCTTTCTCTGTTGCCCACGCTGGAGTACAGTGGTGTGATCTCAGCTCACTGCCACCCTCACCTCCCAGGTTAAGTGATTCTCGTACCTCAGCCCTCCTAGTAGCTGGATGACAGGTACACACCACCATGCTCAGCTAATTTTTTGTATTTTTAGTAGAGACGGGTTTTTACCATGTTGACCAGGCTGCTACCAAACTCCTGACCTCAGGTGATCCACCAGCCTCGGCCTCCCAAAGCTCTGGGATTACAGGCGTGAGCCACTGCACCTGGCCCCCTTAGTTTAATTGCTTAAGCTACATGTATCATATTGCTTCTCTGTGTTCTATGTCTTCTCCTTGAGATAAGTTGGGTCTATGTCCAATTCCTCATGGCCATCTTTCTGCCTAGTGCAGTGTGTAGCCCACAGTGGGCTCTGAGGAGGTCCTGGCTGCATAATAACACCTGTTTCCTGCCTTGCCCTCCCTATGCTAAGCCCTTTCCATGCTTTGTTTCACTTAAACCTCACAGCAGCCCTCTGACCTAGATGCTATTAATTGTCATCTTCCTGAGGAGGAAACTGAGGCTCAGAGAGATTAAGCAACTTGCCCAGCGTCACACAGCTGGTAGGTGGTAGAACTGGGTTTTATGCCCAGACTTTTTTGCCTCTTTTTTTTTTTTTTGAGGGAGGGAGGGAAGGAGTGAGGGAGGGCACTTTTTTGCCTTTAATCACTGCCATATGACCTGAATGAGTAGGATGAATAGGACTGTCAAAATAGGATGTGTAAAAGCCAGTGGAGGATGTAAACTTCTGAGGATGCCACAAATACAGAAAAAACTCTTCTCATTTTTTTTTTTTTTTTTTTTTTTTGAGACAGAGTTTCGCTCTTGTTACCCAGGCTGGAGTGCAATGGCACGATCTCGGCTCACCGCAACCTCCGCCTCCTGGGTTCAGGCAATTCTCCTGCCTCAGCCTCCTGCGTAGCTGGGGTTATAGGCACGCACCACCATGCCCAGCTAATTTTTTGTATTTTTAGTAGAGACGGGGTTTCACCGTGTTGACCAGGATGGTCTCGATCTCTTGACCTCATGATCCACCTGCCTCAGCCTCCCAAAGTGCTGGGATTACAGGCGTGAGCCACTGCGCCCGGCAACTCTTCTCATTTTTTAAGTCACTGTGTTCAGTGGGTTTCAGCCATGCTCCTTACCAAGAATAGCCCACAGCTTAGAGCATCATTAAAAGGGGTGGGGAGGGAAAGGCAGCAGGAGAGTAACTGGTCTTCTCAACTCCATCACAGCAATGACTGGCGTTTCAAGGTCTCACATCGTAGTATACCAGGCCCTGGAATGTTGGAGATAGACGGCCAAATTACCTTTTTGTCTCCATTCCTTCTTTAATCTCCCAAATCCTTAAGAAGTAATGACTGTCTTATACTGTCCCAAGTCCTGTGGGACCACAGAAATGAATCAATCCTATTCAAGAGCCTTTGCTGCAGTAGAAGGAGTGAAACCCATAAATAAATAATCCTAACTTTCAGAAAAAGAGTTAATGTGATTCTGAGAGACAGGTTTTTACTGTTGAAATGGGGAGGAGAGAGAAACCCTTACACTCCAGACTACAGAGGAGCTCCCAAGCCTTGGCTTCCTTAGTTAACACCCCTGACTTCTGACTCAGTTTGTTGGGACTTGTTTCTAAGCCTGGATGTTTGGATACCCCACTCCCCTGCCAGGAGTTTGCTGAGGACCGTGGTTTTAAGCCTGCAAAGGGTGTGATTAGAGGCTTTGTGGCTGGAGCAGCCCGTCTTTAAAAGAGCGAGGAAAACTGGGCGGTGTCTCCCTGTGTTGAACTGTCTGGGTGGCTCCAGCGCTGGACTGGTAAAGTGAATAAATGAGCAGATACTAAGGGATCCTTTAAGGTACAAACCTTGCACTTATGTAACATAGTTATTTAGTTCTGGATACAACCCTATTTTGCAGCTAAGGAAACAGACATTTGAAACAGCTGTAATTTGCCCAAGAATGCATGGCTAAAAGTTAGCTCTTAATTGTAGTCTGATGCTAAGTGTGGAAAATCATTTGGGAGGTGTGAATGGAGCCACGTTGTTGGGGAGAAGAAAGGCCTGTTCTGAGTTTAAGGGAAATATTTCCCTCTTCTTGCTGTGGGCTTGCACTGTGGACAGATACCAAAGAACTGCAGAAAGAACCTTTTATTGAAGAGAGGCCGGTGTGGTGGAAGCCACTTGGTCAGAACCTGCCCAACAGACAGTTGATCAGGCCTGGCTGGTAGAAAGAACAGTATGTTAACAAAGTGGTATGCAGAGTTAGTGGGGCAGAAGATGGGAGAATCCATGTGCCTGTTTTGCCTGCTTTCAAGTCATGAGTTGGTGGTGAATGGGGCAGGCCTTAAAAAAAGTCTGAGATTATGATTCAAAATCAGACAATAATTAAGAAAATAGATTTGGAGAATACTACCCCCAGAAGAGCCCTCAGAGAGAATATAAGGTTGTATTTACTTGTTTAACAGACAGCAAACTGAAGCCTGGTGGGGACAGCAACAAGCCAAAGATGACTGTGTTACCCACAGAACCCAGACAGCTTGCTGCTCTGAATTGAGCCTGTAAGACGGGTTTAAAGGAGGAATAGAAGGTAAATGGAGCAGGTTCATAAGACAGCAAGGCAGTGGATTGATCTGTATTTTTGAGAAACCTGTCAGCATCATTTTGGGAGTGTTAGCTAGGCCAAGTCAAGATTTGTGGGATACAGGGCCCGGGTGTGTTTGGAGATGCAAAGAGTCCATCGTGAGGGGAGTACTGATCTGCCAAAGCAGGAGGGAAGGGTAACTAGGATGGGGATCGTTTCCCATCTCTGAGTGGAGTTCAGAGTCCAGACAGCGAGCTGTCTAAGTCCTGTGAGCTGACTGCGTGCTCTTCCATTTCACCTGTAGGTGATTGCAGTGGTAATGGATGTGTTCACAGACATCGACATCTTCAGAGACCTGCAAGAAATATGCAGGAAAAAGGGAGTCGCTGTGTATATCCTTCTGGACCAGGCTCTCCTCTCTCAATTTTTGGATATGTGCATGGATCTGAAAGTTCATCCTGAACAGGAAAAGGTTTGTGGCACACTAGTTTCAATTTCACCACAGTCAACGAATATGACCAAGTTTCCACAATCTACAAGGTGGTTGGTGGTGGTAGCCCTGTTTACAAGGAAGGGACTGAGGAAGTAGCAAAGTCATTTGCCCAGTCTTACAGAAATGAACAGTACCTGTTACGTGGCAATTCCACTCGTAGGTGTCTACCCAAGAGAAATGAAAATATAGGCCTACACAAAAATTCGTATGAGTGTTTATAGAAGCACTATTCATAAAGCCAAAAAGTGGAAACAGTCCAATGCCCATCAATTGATAAGTGGGTAAATGATATGTTGTCTATTCATACAGTAGCATACTATTCAACCATAAAAAGGAATGAAGTGCTGATACGTGCCACAGCGTGGATGAACCTGCAAACATGCTAAGTGAAGGAAGCCAGTCGCAAAAGACCACATATGATATGATTCTGTTAAATCAAAATAGGGAAATCTATACAGACATACATGAGTGGTTGCCTAGGGCTGGTAAGTTGGAAGGAAGGATGGGGTTATTGCTAAAGAGTACTTTATTTTAGCACTTTCTTTTTAAACTGATGAGAATGTCCTAAAACTGACTAATGGTCAAGCAATTTGGTTTACAAAGTTCAAATTCTTTCACAGAGTTCTTGCTGGTTGTCTCACGATGGAGACAGGATTGGGGTTTAGAGACCAACTGAGATGAGACAGCCATGTAACCCAACAAATGGTTAGAAAGTGAGGCGGACCCAAGGAAGATACCCTTTGGCATGGAAAAGAGCATTATCAGCTAGCCAGGTGAAGAAATTTAAGGTGTCAGTGTTTAATTTCAAGGCATTCTTTCTATCATTAAGGCTGTGTGTTAGCAGCAGAGAAATTACAGAATTGTTCTGGCCACAACTTTGATCAAGTGATTGTCTCTGATTCATTTACTAGGCAAAAATCTATCAGCAGGCACCTGTTCAGTCACTTACTGTTGGTTGCTGCTTTCATAGGAGTCCAGATTCTCTGCAAGGGCAGTTTAAGGAGGTCTATTTCTCTGGCCTCCCCAGTTTTTATAGTCTTACTTCCTTCTTGGGGAAGCACCGTCTTGCCTGGTTGCTTCTGTTTCCTGTGCCTGTCTGTGCTAGTGAACTTGTGTCCTTGCTGTATGGGGGCTGATTTCCCCATGCCCTGCCTCTGTAGCTGGTTCAGAATCTTGGGTTGTGCTGTCTGTAGGAACTTGGTCACACATTGATGTATAGACACTCACAGGTGCTTTGGCCAAAATCACAGAGGCATGTACAATATTCAGATGCGTGCCAAAGGGAAAGATATACAAAACCGTGCCTAAATCTGCCCATAATGGTATTTTTTATGCTCGTTATTGTATGTTGATCCTTTAAGACTGACTCAGGCATCAGCACCTCCTCTAGGAAGTTCTCCTCTCACCAAGTCCAGGTATACCTCTATGACATTCCCGAGTTGTTGCTGTTTTTTTAATTTTCATTTCGAAATAAGATTTATAAATGTTACAAAATAATATAAGAAATTCTTGAATACTCTTTGCCTAAGTTCTCCACATGTTAACATCTTACCTCAGTACAAATAACAAAATCAGGAAATAAACTTAATGTCAATACTATCTAATTTACAGATTTACACATTTCCTGGTCGTTCCATTAATGCCCTTTTTCTGGTCTAGGATCCAATCCAATCCAGGATCACACCTTACATTTAGTTGTCAAGTCTCCTTCTTCATGTCATATAATCTGGAACTGTTTCTCCATCTTTGTCTTTTAGTGTCTTAAACGCCCCCCCCCC